GGGGGGGGGGTTATTTGATGCATTCTGGATTTATCGTAAACGTATGGTAGATGAGTATATAAATGAAATCATTATATGAAGTGCACATTTTTTTATGGAGTAAATTGTAAGAATGCACACATTAATCATTTTAATTAGGCAATAATTCGTATTTCAATAACAAGTTACCGAATTATAATTCTGTTTTTCAAGTATTATTAATTGTAAAATATAATGAGCGACCAAAATAGTTTTAAACTGAAAAGGAACCTATTGTATTTCACATGAAAATGACCTAGCCTATACAACTCCCTGTCTTTGACTAGTTTAAGATATATCGCCCTGAGACAAGACTTAATAGTGATATTTCAATGAATTGTTATATGCACATATCAATGAGTCCAAACCAACGGTCTTATTTGCATTCATCCTTTACAACCGTCTACAGTTGTGAAACTTACCTGTGACGTTATAACAGAAAACACTTGCAGGGTAAATACTGCAGTGACCAACTTTGCCCCATCCGTCAAAGGAACAATCAGCTAGACTGTCCTCCGTACCGTTACAGTCTACACCTGTCATCCATACAGGATCTGTTAGACTGCCATAACGGGTGGTGTAATACATATGACGACTAGCACTGAAAGTTAGTTATAGGAAAGTTAGTTATGTGTTTATTCTAGGTTTAAAGGAGTTTGAGATGCAAAAAAAAATGAGAAGTAAACAAATCAATATTCAACAGTGATACCCAGGTATATAGCAACTTAACCTCGAAATTAAAGTCGTATATTTTGCATGATGATATCTAACTGTAAACGTTTATGTATTATACATTCATATGATTCCACAGATTGCTTTATGCTAAATATAACTGAGAAAGTATATTCTAAAGAAAATGTCAGGTATTTGTAACGATAACCTTTTGTTGTGGATGTTTAAATTTACATGGGGTACCATAATCCCTTTTGCAACTGCCTTTCATCCAATTGAATTAATGATATGACACGTTTCTTAATGCTTAGGAAGTTCACATCAGAAAAATATTCTGAAACTACCTGTATCCTATCATCCGACACGTTACACTGGCGTCCCTCATGTCCCAGTGGTTGTCTCCACAAACACTTCCCCAGTAACCACAGTAGTACACTTCCACGCGGCCGACATGGGGACCTGTGCCTCCACTAAGGCGGATGTCAATGTCTTGTTCTGTTTGAAAATTAAGTTTACATCACACCACAACAATAGGACAGCACTTGAGCCTATGACAAATATCAATTTCATCCCAATACATGAGATCCATATCAACGACTATATGAAACATGTATTCAATTGTGTTCTTTTTTAAAGTAGTATATATAATTTTGTGATTGATGTATGCAAACATGTGGCGTTTTAACAGAAAACTCGAGCGGGATAGCTGCTACATAGAATAACTATTATGGTAAAACAGTCAAAGCATCAAATAACCATATACATGCTTCCATTCTTTATATTGTGCTATCTATTTACGTTTAACAGCATCTAGACTAGTGATTCAAATATACATACCTGTGACGTTATAACAGAAAACACCAGCGGGGTAGCCACTGCAATAACCACCATGTCCCCATCCGTCAAAGGAACAATCAGCTAGACTGTCCTCCGTACCGTTACAGTTTACACCTGTCATCCATACGGGATCCTTCTTACTGTAATAATGGGTGGCTTGTTGACCAGTACTGAAATATATGTAACAAGGTTTTATAAAGTTTTAGAGGCAAGTGAGTAACACTGTATACAGTTTGAGAAAGTTATTCAATAAACCACAGTGGTACCAAGATAATACCTTAACTAGGCGAAGTAACAAAACGATTCGGTGCAAGCAGAAATCAATACAATTTGTATGTATATAAACCGATGATTAACTCTTTCCGTACTGTTTTCGTGAACATACGACAACAGTATGTGCTTCCTTTCCCCGTTGTCGTGTATAGACGACAAAAATGTATGCCGTCTCATTTCTGCTATCGTGCATACACGACAAGAGACTTCGACGTAACATGTCTAAGTAGCTATAGCACACAACAGTCGTGTAATCCAATCCATCAGTTGGCAAGAAAGATTTAAATAGGTACAGAGTACACGGCTTTCATCATGTGACATATTGTTTTGGAATTTGCCTCACAATGTTGCGTTTTGTGCTCTCCGATATAAATAATATGGCGGTGACTGAATTCGATACATACACTAGTAAATTCATCACCAAATATTTACCGAGACTTGTGGAAATAATTATTGATATTTAAAAAAGTAAAGATACAACTACAAGTAATTAAAAACAAATGTAACCAAAATCAATCCCCATTGGGACCCGCACTGCAACGAGTGAATCGTATTTTCGTTGCCGGACAAATGTTGATACTTCAGTCATAATCAGCTGCAAGTTAGTCATAATACTGCGAAAATTAAGATATGTCTGTCTATGAACAACGACATGAAACAATAACATTGGTTCATGGTTACCTGGTTATTTCTTGCAGCAGTTACACCTCTTTGAAGAAATATATTGATTATGATGATATACTGTAACTATGGTGATATATTGTAACAGTGGTGAGAAAATGAGAAAGTGTAATGAGAAAAATTGAATAAATGATGGCATTGTTGTAAAAAAAGAAAAATGGAAATCATTGTATTTTTATGTAACTAATCAGAATACTGAAATAAAAATAAAAAGTCAATCAAAAACATATAAAGTTAATATACAACTGTTCAAATTAATGATAGTTTCTCCGGATGCCTACTAATTGAATGTGTAGGTGTTATGGTATAAACTACCATCGTTTAAAAAATTTCTGAAATGTTTTAAGGCTTTCTATCCAAGGACGGGTAACGTTCAAGCCTTTTACTAATTGAAGCTACCTTTTCTAGGCAAATTTGTACACTATAATCTGAGAATCGTTTTATACACGATTCTTAGTATGTATTAATAATAATTAGAACTGAGGAAAGTGGGAATACTAAATGTATACGTTATGGATATAACTGACTTAGATGTTTACATGTATGTGTTCATTTAAATATTTTGTTTTATTTGTCTTCAAATTACTGTGTTATTACAAAGGAGCAATAAGCATTGAGATGAAAACAAATATCGATGGTCCGCCATTTTGTTGTATGTACTGGGGGAGTCTAGTTAGGACATATGGTACGGATTTCGGACAAGATTTGCGGTAAGGAATTAAAAGATGAATGCCCGAATATTCATGAATGTTATAGAAAATCATGTAAGAAAGCAAAGCTGAACAGATTCAATGTAAAAGTATTATGTTAATCAACAGAAAAGTGATATACCAAATAAAATCCATAACAATTTTTTCACAAGAAATCATGTAGATGCCAAGATAAAGTTTGGACTTGGAAAGATACTATGCTACAGTTATAATATTATTATTATTCAACAGTCCGACCTCCGTTCGATCACCAAGCGCCTGGCTCGCAGCTGGTCTACGTCCGTATTGCGTTCGTCTTTTACGGCTAGATCGGCTTAAGCAGTCGAAACAAATGATCGTCGTTTTATGTACAATTTTGTATGTCAACGACGTTTTCTTGTTCTATCCTACTGACCACTGGCCCAACGTCAAGGATATACCTACCACTTACTGTCGGCATCCATTTGGGACGTCCGATCACTCGTTACCGAAAGCTATCAATGGTGTCGCTGATCAGAGACATATACATTATTATTAGTATGGATGCAAATAAATTGTTTTAATTTTTACCTTCCTCCTGTCATCTGTCCCTCGTTCATGCAGCGAATCCAGGCATTAGTTCCTTGAGGTTCGACAGCTGACTCAGCCAAATACTTACTCACACATGATGATATAACAAGTGGTATAACGAGCGATAGCCTACATCCCTGTTCGAAGGGAACAATTATATATCTACAGGTACAGTTGGTCACTAACAGAGGGCGGAAGGTTGTGTGTGTGAGGTTATAAATAACAATTTTCACTTACTGTTCCCGGGAATTCAGAGTTCGTTTGCATGCAGGGCTTACCATGGCTCAGATGTTTAGTCATCGATTTGAACCTTATTCTTTGGGTACGACACGGAATTACATTAGACTGCGAATAAGTGTGAGTCCACCAAATAGTACGGCAAAACGTGATTTACCTGTATCCGAACATCCTGCACGTTACAACAGCGTCCCTGTAGTCCCAGTAGTTGTCGACACAAACAGTACCCCAGTAACCACTATAGTAGACTTCAACACGGCCGACATGGGGACGATAATCCCCACTCAGGCGGATGTGAATGTCTGTTCCTGTTTTATATAAATCTGAAATTATTTTTACATCACCCCACAACAGTGAGAGAGCACTATAACTTACGAAAAATATTTATTTCATCCCAAAACATCCGTATTGTTTTAAAATACACCAATGGCATTTCGTGTTGCGTATCCTGCGTACTATTATTATGACATTTTAAACAAAAATACCTGCTTTGATTTAATAGGAAAAATATTGTGAAAGATGTCATATATATATCAAATGATTTAAAATTATTCCTTTGGGCAAACGAAGTTTTTTTTTTATGAATTTAGAATATACATAATACTGCGTAATTTCCAGAAATCGTTTTCACGTACATGGAAATCTTAAACTTTTTCAATTGAGTTTTTGAATAGATTCAATATATATCAAAAACCGCAGGAAACTGCGTTTCAAATCGTCATAACATGGTCGATATATTCAAATTATATATATGAATTCCGAATTTTAATTGGGATCTTTGAATATGACTGTAGAGGGGTTGGAGTTAAGGGTGGAAAACCCATCTAAGGGGTTTGATAATTTGTAATTTTAAGTAAATTTCATATAAATGAACAACTATAGGAAGCATGTATACAACCCTTTCATTGTTTTCGTAATTTTGATAATGGTAGTAATGGCTTTTTTTATTTAAAACTATTTTAAAAAATGGTAGCTGATTTGAAATTAATGAGCCAGCTTCATTCAGTAATATATGATTTGCATTTTCAAAAGGTAATCTCCATTAACGTTAAACATCATTTAAAATGTTTGTTATCGATTGAAACAAACCTGTGACGTTATAACAGAAAAGAGTAGCAGGGTAGTTACAATTCAGCTCAACTTGACCCCATCCGTCAAAGGAACAATCAGCTAGACTGTCCTCCGTACCGTTACAGTCTACACCTCTCATCCATACCGGACCTGTTACACTGCCATAACGGGTGGTCTGATATATTGGTTGACCAGTACTGAAAATGAGTTGATATGTCTCAAAAAGTAATTCAGTGTTCTATAATAAGGTCAAAGTATACCTAATAAGTAATGAAATGCAACCTGCATACCAATATTCCAGTAAAATTTATATAATTTATCAGTAAAAATACGTATGCGTTATGAATATACTGCTGTTGTTTATTAAGTTATCTAAATTAAAAATATGAATAAAAATTACTAGACACAATTCTATATGCAGATACTATCATGTTAACGGTGTAACAACGCAATATGCTATTATTTGACAAAACGCATACGATCGGAAATATGAGCAGTGTGTTCAGAATTGCGTGATGGTTAATAGATGTGTGTCCATAAATATGGTAGGAAACCCTTAAAGATCGGGAAGCTCTATCAATGAGTGTTTAATTTTCAGAATTTTCAGAGAAATATTCATACTCTTCCGCAGATTATTGATAAACCAGATGTAATAGATACAATAATGTTGATAAAAGGTCAGAGATTTGCAGTTTTGCAGTCGATCATGCTTGACGTCATGTTTTGTTGTATTTTTTAGCCAACGTTTTATTACTGGATATATTGTATACTTCTACGGATGCTTACACTAGTGTATATATCCATATATTACCTGAATCCTAACATGCGGCAGGTCACAATAGCGTCTCTGATATCCCAACTGTTGTCGCCACAAACGGTTCCCCAGAAACCACTGTGATACACTTCTACACGGCCGTAATTTTGCCCTCAATTTAAGCGGATGTCAAAATCTGTTCCGTCTAGGATTCATATTCAGAGAACATATTATTCAGTTACACTTTAAATTATTACAAAAAGAATTGAAATGAACGTTATGACATATTATAAAAGAATATAGTGTGGTGTTATGTTAGTTATCCTTCCCAAACATATCCAGGTTGAATAGACAAAATAGGACAGCTAACCATACGGTCAGAAATTATAAAAACGCGCAGCTTGTTGTGAAACGAAGACATATAGGCATCACATGACAATTGTAACAGCGCGCAAAAGAACAGTCTAATTTGAATAATTATATTATCTTAGGCACCTACTTATCATAAGCGTATGGAAACTTAAATGAACATGAAAATAAAACGTTCTTTACATTTTACTTGGTGGAATAGAAATTATCAACAGTTGTTTGTAAATGATTATGGCAAATATTGCTTGGAATTCTAAAATGTTAGAAAAATTATAAACTTAGGCCGCAAGCGGCTTCCGTCAACTATTTTTCCAACATTTCTCAACCTCGTTATACTGTTCACCGGGACATTTGTACCCAGGTACATGTACATTTTCGCCCTCGACAGTGAAATCCTTTTCGACCATTATCAAATTTGCCCTTGATATTTAAATGCTTTGTATGTAATGTTGTTTACAGGTGTTAGCTGTAATGATAAATTCGCCCTCATTATGGAAGGCGAAAAAGGCGAACAGTAAACTAAGGAGAACATGTCCCGGTATTCAGTATACCGCACCATGAAACACGCACGCACATTGAATATTTCATAAATACACCGTTTTGCGGCCAATTAAACTATACATGACCATATTAAAACTGGTCAAATAAACCGAAATTGGTTTTTAAACACGTGTTGTATAATTATTATCATCTTTGAGAACTTTTGATATTATGTTTTCTGATATGAAACTTTGTATATAGTTAACTTCGGTACAGAGGTCGATCTGTTGTTTTAAGCCTACTACATGTGTACTCTATCCTTCTGAAACTTAGCTATAAAGAAGATAAATAAGTTTAAGAAAAGTACTAAAATCTGCATGGAATGAAAAGGGGGGAAATAGTTTTGGAATATCGACATACTTTTCGCAGGAAGCCTGGTATGGTACATAATGTGATCATTTACTGTAATCAGCTTGTACATTATACAGTATATTATGCTATAGAGTAACTTGTCTTGTGTTGTTAAGTCCTTTTAATACAAGTTACCGTGATTTTCTATGAAACATATCACGCCTGCATCTTCATTATGGCCACAATTATGAGTTCCCCAACCACTAAACGGACACTCATCAAGGCTTTGTTCCGAGCCGTCACATGCGACATCATCCATCAAGATAGGTCCTGAGCCAGCTCCAAAGTACGCAGATCCAACACTCTGAGCTTTGCTATAATAAAATAAAATTATCTATATGTTTGTATGAGCTTGTTTTATATTGATCGGCAAAAAAAGGAAGAAATAGTAATTTTAGGTTTGGGAATTGAGTATTGGCTTTCTGATTTAGTTTATCAGAATAGCATGACAAATGAGAGAGACAACTCTTATTCTTACAATAATGGTTTAATAACATGCACCTAAAATATATTTGTCAATCAACGAATTTCTAAGGAAGGAGATCAGATCCGGGATTATCATCAGTATACTTTTTTAAAAATCAAGGTTTCTCAGTATAAGATTTTTTGAGAAATGTATCCCACCTCTGTAAATATTTCATCTAAATATATTACTTGTAACAGATACTTACCTGTAATTGTATCCTAACATTCTACACACAACTACAGCTTCATAGCGTTCCCACCTATCATCACACACGGTCCCCCATTCTCCGGCATGAAAGACCTCCACTCGGCCGGAACTGTTGCTCGCACCGTTTACAATGCGGACAGAAAAGGGCAAACCTGAAGCGGCAGAGAAGGTTGTTTGGTCAGAAGTTGCTATGACATGGCAATGAAGTACAATGTACATTAATTACAGGGTTCACACTAATCAAATAAAACCATAATCCAAGGCTTCTAAATTATGATCTGTCGCCTGTTTAAGGTTTGCTTTCTACGTATCAATAACACATCTTGGTTTCTCGTCCAAATTTTGCGAGAGCGGTTGTGGGAGCTTAACAGGTATGTGTTTTGATAAATCAATATCTCACTTACTTGACTACACATCATGTGCCAAAAAGAAACAGTATGGACGCTTTATCTATTTATTAAAGTAATGCCGACCGCGCACGACGGCTGCCATCTTACCGTACAACACGATGGTGAAGCAGCAAATCAAAATTCACATCTGTTTATTTGTTAAAAGTAAACAAAAAATATGTGCTGCGCTGCTATATGTAAAGTAAGGAAGAACTAAGTGAAACAGTTTACATTGATACACTGTACATGTACATGTCTTTGATGCTTTATTATGTCGAAATAACTTGACATTTCAAAGAGCCTACGCAAATAACATGATGCATAAAGATGTTGGATTATATTATTATAATTGCATATATCATGAATCAACTATATCACGCGGAAAAGTTATTTCATACGCGTGACGTCGCAAGTCGAATAGCCGGAAGCAACTCTGCTTGCCTGATGCGTATTTGTGTAGGTAAGATAGCTGTGTACGTGAACGGTCGACAGCACTTCAAATAAATCAAATAAGTTGTTGTCCTTCCAAAAAGGAATACTTTGAAAGAAAACATGACAAATATACAAAGAGATACAGTTTCATTTATAATATTATTTGTGGAAATTGAATGTGAAGTGTTATTCATTAAACTAAAATGTACTGTTCCTTTTCGCACAAGGCGGTGACAACAGTTATGAAAAATAGGGTAAGTCCTGAAGTGGTTAAGGTTGTGATGTTTGAAAAACCTAGCTGCGAACCTGCCCCTTTTATGGCAGTCTTTTGTCAAATGTATCAAGAGCAACTTTTTATTATTTTCATGCCAGATTTTCCAAGCGTTTTAATCTTCGTCCTTATATGATTCAATCAACAAGCTGCAATAATAACAATATTTCAATCGAATTTGTGATAACAACTCAAAAATATTGTGATTTGACTTACAACATTATAGTGATTCTAGAAATGTGTATCCATACATCACAACCTTAACCACTTCAGGACTTAAACAAAATACAATAATACTATAATATAATTAAACACTTGCCTTCAATGTAAGGGAAAAGGCCGGTCAGGATTACCAGTTGTAAGTAGAGATGCGCAGCCATGATTTTACAGTTCCTCGCGTCCTGCAGAGGAACCCGGTCAACACACAACGTACAGGTAGGGGGAACTACCTGCGAATGCGCTCGATAAAGTTTTCCGGATTATCGTAAGGTTCACATTATGTAATGTACAATTTTGCAAGCAATATCAAGGTTATCTCGAGCGTTTTTAAACAATATGTATTGTTCTGATCTTAAAGATCGTCCTATCAGATGTATAAACAAGATATCATAGCCTCTACGCAAAGGAAAAATGTACCACAAGGTGAACATATGTTATCAAGACAAACCACAATGATAACAAATTACAGAAAAAAATATAACGGCTCATTAGGACACAACAAATACTGCCACGTCAACCAACAAGCTTTAGCACATTGTCATAGGAAAAGCTCGATGTACATCATTACAGCGTCATCATAGTAAAGACAAAGTATAATACGATAAAACAGCGTCCAGATTCAAAGAAATATATTTAACAACACATTGTCAGCTAACGATTGCATAACATACGCTACCATTAGCACTAAATGGCACTATATACCAGAACATTAGCACTCAATGACACAATAAACCATTACATTAGCACTTAATTTACACAATATACCATACCATGAACACACAAAATACCATAATATTTCAACTCAATGACAGTATACCATGAAATAAGGTCTCAATGACACAAAAATCGATCAAACTAGCACTCAATTACACAGTATACTATGACATAATCACTTAATGACACAATATACCAGAACATTAGCACTCAATGACATAATAAACCATAACATTAGCACTCAATGAGATAATAAACCATAACATTAGCACTCAATGACATAACAAACCATAACATTAGCTCTCAATGACATAATAAACCATAACATTAGCAATCAATGACATAATAAACCATAACATAGCACTCAATGACATAATAAACCATAACATTAGCACTCAATGACATAATAAACAATAATATTAGCAATGAATGACACAATATAGCATAACATAAGCACTCAATGACACAATAGACCGTAACATAAACACTCAATTACACATTTAACCATCATATTAGTACTCAATAACAGAGTTACCAGATCATTAGAACTGAAAAATGACACATAAATAATGCTTTACAAACGATACAATTATTGTTCAAAGCATATTTTAAATGCTTTTGTCATATCCTTTTATATTTTGTTCTGATGTGCTTTTAAAACAAACACAATATTAGAACATCTTAATCAACACTATACCGGTGTAACATTTCTTTTGTTATCTTATTCCTAGTGTGGTCTTATAAACTGTAAAAGCGCAGAAGTTCGTTGGGATAAAGTGCGTGGTGTCTATAAAGAAACAGTTAAACCAGAATTATATTTGATGGAATTGTAATTTTTAAAACAATATTTAAATTCAACAGCAAATTATCATAGCAATAAAAGTAAATATTTCAAGAAATATTTCATAAAATATCACAAAAAGATGTGTGTTTCGTTTGATAAGCTGCATTAATACGTTTATGACTATTAAGTTGTAATTGGAATGACGGCCGTTACCAAAGTTCCTAGAATAACTTTCTCAGTCATAAATGATGCTAACGACAATCACTATGCTGTGATGGCATACTACACTTACGTACCAAGTTTGATTGAAATCGGTCAATACCTAAAGTTTGACTATTCAGGGGCCACGGCGGCCATGTTGGATGCGAATTGACCAACACAAAGATGTTTTGCATATCTATGCATGCTCGTTTTTACGCATGCAAAGTTTCATTGTATTACTATATTTAGTTACTGATAGAGACGAAGATACGGGGTAAAAAGAATAAGTCAACATTATTTGTTTAGGGGACTTAATTATCCATTTCTGTTTTGAGAACAAGAAAGGCGTAATTTTCTGGGCAGGTGGACCTGTGGAATGGCAAGTATATAGCATTTTAGTACAACGTAATCGGTCAGATAGGAATGATCTAAATTACCAGTCAATACAAACTGAAAACATTATAAATCAGCCGTAATTAAGCATTAATCTGCTTTCAAATGTGGTTTACTGCTATACGAGAAAATAAAATGTTCAACGTGTATGTTTTTCAACTTTGCTACAATATGGTGACATGGATGAAAACAAGATAATCACAAATCACAAAACCCTCTTTTGACCTCTCAATTGATGAAACTAGGAACAAACAGCATCAGCAAAACCATCAGTAAAAATCAGAATCGATACAACTAATGTCAAGAAAAACCCTAGAAAATACATTTGGACGCTTGAAAAAAGACGGAGAATAAGACAAGAGAAACTCGCGTATTGAAATACATGATATTGTAGTAGAATAGTTTGCCATATCAGTTGATATGTTTCCAAGTCCCACGACGTGGACGTGGTTCTACTTGGGACACGAATTTGGAATTAATAAATATTTGTGCTGTGACTGGGTTGTTTTGTTCTGTAAAGGTGTATCTATACAATAAACTAAAATCAAAATAAATAAATCATTTTTTTTGCCAATGAAATACCAAACTCTATCAATTTGATAAAACTGATATATCTCACTAAGTGAATGAAGATATCACTTTTGGTATTTACCAATCAGAACGACACCTTATATTTGTTAAATTCAAAGATGTAGATTTCTGTCAAGACACAGATGAAGTAGTTTGAAGAATTTAGCCACACTCATTAAAGATATTAACTTACTTATACAATCGATATCATTTATGAAAGCAACTCTTACTAAATAATAGAAGAAAACGAAAGAATTATGTTGTATAACCCATTTAGAATGGCACACATCCTTGTTGCAAGGGAAATCCTAAGAGTATTGCGACAAAGATTACGCTACCATATCAATTACTGTTTTGCTGCAGTAACATTTAGGTCGGTGGCAATTGTTTTAAAATTTAACTAACAGAAAAAATGGTTCCTCCTTTTAAAACCATTTATATTTTACTCGTTTGGCAGAAATCATATCAATATTTACACTGTAATATGCACTCGTGAAAAACATTAGAAATCTTGCGTACTCGTGAAAAATAGATATGTTGAATATGGTATTTATTCCTTTCGAATTCATAATGAAGAATAATCAGTGTATAAACAATCCAATCAAAACAGGACATTTTTTTATTAAATGTCCGAAAGATGAATTTGGTTTCACTTTCAAATATGTAGTTTGTTTACGTAAGCCAAACAAAGTCAGTGCTTTAGCTGAAACCACGAGTGGCAGCATGCAGTGACGACATTTAAGTTGTGACAAAAGAACATGATAGGTGTTGGTTGTCAGGAGTTGTTCGAGACATCTTTTCTGAAACTAACTAGATTACTAAAATAAACATAGATAAAAGAGGGAAAGTGGGAGCTCTCCCGTAGAAGAGCATAATAAATGATTTGTATATTTGATTTAAAGTCAAATATCGATGATTCTAAGGTAGACTGAAGCTGTTCATCGTAAGAGTCAGTCTAAGTAATTTAGCTTGATTTTAAGAGTCAGTCAAAGTTATTTAACATCTTGCATATTTCGTAGACACAAACACTGATTGAGTCATACCGTAACATATACATAACACATGCTATTTTTTATTTTACAAGTGAATAAATTATACAGTGTGCCACTTGCTAAAAGAGGTCTGTTTTGTTTTATCCGCCTTACTTGTTGCAGCAGTTTTGGTTTGTGTTCA